ATCTAGGGATATATCTAAGGAATCAGGGAAATCTTTCTATGATGCTATGAGCTTAAGTTCCCATTCTTGTGTGTTCCTTCTACTATTTGCTTCCCAGAGATTAGTGCCACAGTTCCATTTAATGAATTACTTTCAATTAGCCTTTACAAAGGGATATTTAATGAGAAGATACAGCATGGACCAAAAACACAAACATTTTCCCAGAACCTGGGAAATAGTGGATTCAAATTTAATTCATTTTCTATGTAGCATTCACCTCTCTAGCTTTACTTTAAAATTCAGCATAAGCACAGGATAAATCCTTGTCTCTGCTGCTGCTGTGATGAGCTCCTCAGGGAATTCCCGTGGGGCTTTGATGCTGAGCTGGATGGTCAAAAACCCTGACATGGACTCTGCTTCTAGACCTCCTGATGACTTGCTCTCCTAAATTTCTGAAGCTCCCAAGATCATAGCTACCTTCAATATCCTTCATCTAAAAGCCAGAAAGAAAAGACGTGACAGGGACAGATGCAACAACAAGGTCATGTGCTCTTAGCTTCATTGTTGCTCCAGGTAAGGGAGGGCTTGAGTCCCATAGCAGCTTGTGCTACTTCTTCAATGCCAAGAAACTCACCCTGGATTACTACTGCCTTTTTAATGCACCCCAGTTCTGGTTTAAATGGCCAATCAACATCTTATCATATGGTTGGCAGACTAGAACCAGCCATAAAAAAAAATCTGTGACATGCTTTTCATCATGGAGCAGGGCACTTTCATGCACTTTCCAGAAACAGGGTCCCCAGACTCTTCCACATGAGGGATTGCATCATGCCTCCCTTTTCAAGAAAAAAAAAATAGTAGATTGCCATAAATATTCCCAAATTTTTGTCCAGATATGTGACTTCATTGGTGTAGGGAACTCCCAGTGATGAAGATTGGCAACTGAAAGGCTAAACTGACTTGCCAAGGATGACATAGCCAGTATGTCTCAGAGGCATAGCTTGAATCTAATTATTTCTAGGTTTGAAGCTGGCTTTCTATTATATCATGCTGTCTTTCTCAAGTATTACATAAAAACCTGACATTAAAAATATATAAAACACTATTTAAAGTTTACATACAAAATTACAATCCTTAATTGATAAGAGGCCAAGAGATATGAATGGCTTACAAAACAGAAAACACAAACTGTTAATAATTACTTGGAAAAATGTTCAACTTCACTAATAATTGAGGAGATACAAATTAAAATAACTCTAAGATACCAATTTATACATAGCAGATTAGCAAAATTAAAATGGTAAAAATTAAAATGTTGGGTTGGGATAAAAACAGGTACACTCATGTGTTGCTGGTAGAATTGCAAGCTAGTAGAATCTTTTTGGAAAGCTATTTGTGTGCATAGTAAAAGTATCTAAAATAAGCATATTCTCTAATTCCATTGTTGAGAATATTTCATGAAAGTGTTATCTGTTCAAAGGTTTTTATAGGAGAATTACTTATGATTACAAAAAAAGGAAAAGAAACTAGCAACAACCTAAATGCCCAAAATAAGAGAATTACTGAATAAATTGTTATACATTAATGTAATGGAATATGATAATTCCACTAAAATAGACAAGTATGAGGAACATGGAATTTAGAAGAAATTTGCTGAAATAATGCAGTTAAAAGGGAAGAAACAGGAGAACAGAATATATACTTATTATGACTGTGTGAAAGGGAAAAGTGGAAACAATGACAAAGAATCTTAGAGATGAGTCACAGAAAAGTTCTCATGATGTCTTATATATTAAAATTCATTTATTTAAAGCATAAATTGTAAAGCAGGTTTATAATGATGTTTGTTGTCAGTGCTTCCCCCCTCTCCAAAATACTTTGCATTTATTTTATATGTGTAGCCATACATATGCATGTGTGTGTGTATTCACTTATATGAGTACATGTTGTACCTCCTATCTGCCAGGCATCATGCTAAGAGCTGGGATTTAAAAAAGAAGCAAAAGAGAGTCCCTGCCCTTGAGGAGCTCACAACCTAATAGGGAAAATAAGCAAACCTGTAAGTACAGACAAGCTGTATATACGGTAATAGGAAATAATTTAAAAATGTAAGGCATTAGAATTAAGAAAGTTCCTTTAGGGTAGGAACAGGATTTTTTTTTTGTCTTTCTATCACCTTCATTATTTCTTTTGATTCCCATTATGCTCTGATATATAAAATTGTTGAAGCTTTGATAAGCCTCAAGAAGGTATCAGAATACTGGTGAAGGAGCAGAAGGGACAGTATCATTGGATTCTATGAAGATTTTTTGCTATCAAGTCCCCCTAAGTGTTTAATTAATCCTTGTTGATTGATTTATTCAGACTCAGGACTCATTGGCCTCCTGGTTTCTTTAAATTCATACTTAACCTTGGACTATGTTTTCCTAACTGCTCTTTGGATCTCGTTTCTGCCTCAGGTTTACTTTTAGACTCAATTGCCTTCTTGCAATGTGTGCAACTAACCTCCCTGCTTTAAATGATCCATGTCTTTTGTGGGCTGAAACTTTGCTGCTACCAATGTTCCTGACCAGATCTGCCCAGCCTTGTTGGCAATGCATCGTGGGAAACCTTAATCAGTGACATGGAAATTGATTGGCTGTAGTCCCAGCTTGCTATTGAAAAGCAGACATTAATGACCTTGGTGAAAGCAATAGAGAATGAAGCTAGATTCCAGGAGGTTGTGGTGAAAGTAAAGAAGTTCAAAATTAAGGCTTTAAAAGAAAAAGAAGTTTGGCAATGAAAAAAGGTAGAGCAAGTTTAAAGGAAGGAAGGCAGCTTGGAATAGTGGAAAGACCTCACTGGGCCCAGTTTCCTCATCTGTAAAATGAGAGGGCTAGATTACATGGCCTCATAGGTCCTTTCCAACTATAGACATGTAATCCTCTGGGGATCCCTTTAGGATAGGGAAGGTTGAGTATGTTTGCAGGCACCTGGGGAAATGAGCCTGTGGACACAGAGAGATTGAAGAAGCAAAAGGCATCAGGAATGGTTGATAGACTAAGCTCCTGGAAGAGATATCAGGGGATGAGATTACTGGCACAATTTAAGGGGTTAGCCTTAGGAACTAGGAAAAATATCTTGTCCTTGTGAGAATGAGGGGAAAGAAGTGAGGACTTATTAAGGTTTAAAGAAGTAAAAGAGGGGAGCTGAGAGACCTCAGACCAGATAGGTTGAGTGACTGAATCAAGTTCACAATTAAAGCATGCAAACGTACTGCCAGAAATATAATTGGCACCTGAAAGCCATGACAACTATCCCAGGATTTAACATCACAATTCAAATTACGATTTATGACCAGTTTCTGTGATCAGAGCCAACACTTGTCAGAGACCTTTGTGCAGCATTGAAAATAGGTCAGGTTAGATGTGTCTAGTTATTCTGCAAAGCTGTTTGGAACTATGCCCAAAAAGTTACTTCATTGTTCATGCCCTTTGATCCAGCAATACAATTATTATGTCTATGCCCTCAAAGAGATAAAAAAAAAAGGAAAGGGTCATATGTGTAAAAAAATATATTCTTTCATTCATTTATTCATTCATTTAGCAGCTCTTTTAGTGATGGCAAAGAATGGAAACTAAAGGAGTACTCATCACTTAGGGAATGGCTGGACCAAAATATGGGACATGAATATAGTAGAATGCTATTATACAGTTAGAAATGATGAATGGGATGATTTCAGAAAAACCTGTTCTGATCAACACAACCACCAACTGTAACTGCAGAGTACCCATGATGAAATACATTCCTCAACTCTTGAAAGAAAAGTGACAGACTAAATATGCAGAGCGAGACAAACATTTTTTTGATATGGCCAAGGTGAGAATTAGTTTTGTTCAACTATACTTTGTTACAATGATTTTGTTTTTCTTTCTTTTTTCTTTTCTGGGGAATGGAGAGGGAGGGAAAATAAATGCTTGTCAATTTGAAATTATGCAATAAAGTGACAAAAAACTTTTTAAAGGAAAATGGGTTGGGAAAACTGGAGGGAAAAAGTTTAAATTTTGTCTGTAACTCTGTTACACCCTTAGAAAGACTATTCAAATAAAATTCTTGCATGTCTCCCTGTGAATATATGTTGGACTAAAAGGCATTTTCACTCAACTCATGCTTCTGGAAGGCATCTGAATCAGGCTTTACTTGGCCTTGGAAGACAGCAAAATGACAAGAAAAGTGAAGAGTTTGACCACATGGCTGTGTCAAACAGGCATTTTCCTAGTTCTTCCACCCTTGGTTGGTTAGGCAGCCTGGTAATGCAGTGGGTAGAGAACCAGGCTTGGAATTTTAGGAATACTTGAGTTCAAATCCGGACTCAACCAGCTGTGTGACCCTAGGCAAGTTATTTAACTTTGGCCTGCCTCAATTTCCTCAACTGTAAAATGAAGATAGTAACAGCACCCAGTTCACAGGGTTGTTTTGAGGATCAAATTAGATAACATTTGTAAAGTGCTCTGCAAACCTTATACAAATGCTAGCTATAATTTGTTTAGGAACTTGCTCTGGGCTTTTCTTTTTTTTTTTAACTTTGTTTAAAGACGACAAAAGTATACTCAGCAAACACCAGGTGTTCAATTAAAAATTTGTTTTAATTGAAAGGAAACACTTGGATGGTTCTAACAGCGGAGCTTGGGCACGCTCAAAAAACCTCCACAATAACAAAACGTCTTCCTCTTTCCTTTCCTCAACCAGCACCCCTTCACCACCATCCCCCCAAAAAAGAGGGAGCAGAGTGGTGAGGTGAAGCGATTACATGAGTTTATTAAACTGGTTTAAAAAACCAAACACCTGAAAACGCTTTAATTTGCCGACCCTCACGCCCTATTTCATCATCCCTGAGCCAGAGTCCAGACTACAAAGGCGACGGCTGAGCTTGCTTCTGATTGGCCAAATCATTTACCAAGGGAAAGTTCCCTTCCCCTTCCTCCGCGGTTAAACTTCTGAAAGGAGATTAGGCCAATCGGTGCACCCTCCAGTCGCGGGCGTTGCAGCTCCGCCGCCCACCTCTGCGCAGGCAGCACCTTGGGCAGCGATGGCGCCGCAGTCTCCTTGATGTTTCTGCTGCAGTGGCAGGGAGCTCTGCTCCTGGAAGCGGGGTCTGAGACGCCCATTAGTGCCAAGCGGAGCCTGGAGTGGGGGCCTGGAATAGAAGTAAGGAGCGTTCTTCCAGTCAGGTCTTTTTATCTCCAAGCAGTGAACTCTGCGGAGCAAAATCTCTCCCGCTCTGCCGCAGGTAGGGTGCACCCGAAAACAAAAAGATCCCAAAGTTCCTCTAGTTTAACAGTCAAAGCTCGATACTACCCTCCTGGCCAGCATCACAGGCTCTCTGGTCTGGGGTAGGAAAAACAGGGTGACCCATAGTCTAATGTTTCCTATCTAGAGGACTTTTTTTCTTTCTTTTTCTCCATTCTTCCTCCCCAGCCCTTAAATATAATGCCTTTGAGGTTTCTGTATGACATAAAACGTAACCTGCACCTAACACTGGAACTTCAGTGTACAAATGCAAGAACCATGGACTGTTAGACTATGTTGGAAGAACAGCTCTGCAAACAAAGCAGACGTTCAGAATATCTCTTTAGAACCTATCTAAAACAAAAAGAGCCATCTAATCAAAGCGTTTTATGGAGGTGTTATTTATACTTGAGGAAAAAACCTATTAGCAAAGTGCCCAATGACAATAGGGCAATGGTTGAATAAATTGTGATACATTAGAACATAAATTTCTAGACTGAAGTGATTGCTTCTTTATATTTGTGTCCCTTGGGCCTATCATAGTACCTGGTATATAGACACTTATGTGTTTGTTGATTGATTGGATACTATAATTCAATTAAGATCAGCAACTATAGGGGCAGCTAGATGGTGCAGTGGATAGAGCACTGGCCCTGCAGTCAAGAGGACCTGAGTTCAGATCAGGCCTCACACTCACTAGCTGTGTGACTCTGGGCAAGTCACTTAATCTCACCAAAAAAAAGCAAAACAAAGATTAGCAATTATAACATAAAAATATTTTATAATGAAACAATGCAAAATGAATAAAAAGCAGAGTCAAAAGAACAGAACATGTACTAACTATAAATATATAAGAGAAAAAATGAATAGAGATAAGTGGAAAAGGAATCCTAATGGATACTTAGAAGTGACTGCAAAGGAATGATGCTTTATGCATTGAAATTAATTTAAGTGTAAATAATTCAATTCACCAAACACTGATCACTTACTATATGCATCTGTGCTAAGCACTAAGAACACAAAGACAAAAATGAAACCAACCGTGTTCTCAAAGAGTTCCCTACCCCGGAGCAGGGGTAGGGAATCTGTGGCCTCAAGGCCAATGTGGCCCTTTAGGTCCTCAAGTGTGGCCCTTTGACCAAACTTCACAGAACAAATCCCAAAAGGAGGCTGCAGGTTCCCCACCCCTAACTGGGGAAAAATAATATGTACAAAGACAAACATAGAAAGTAAATACACAATAAGTACAAAATTCAGAGAAGGGGAATACTAACAACTGAAGACACCAGCTAGTTGTTAGTTGTTCTTCATAATCAAAGAGGACCAAAATGACATCACTATGTTGAGGTCAATGTGTGTCCACTGTGGCTGATCAAACCAATACAAGCTCAGAAAGCTATACCACAGGTTGGGCACAAATAGTCCATATGAACATTGGGAAGGAGATATCTCTAAATTTACACATCTCATGTTTCTTTCCAGCTACTAAAACTCTGATTTGCTCATAGAGCACAGTGCTGCCTTTGATTAGGGCACATCATGCTGGATGGTCCTATGCCAGTGTCTCCCATATCTCACAACTGATACCAGAGTCCTTCAAGAGACCTTGAGAGGATCCTTGTATCATGTCTGACCTCAGTGTAAACACTTGCCTTGTGTGAGTTCTCCATAAAACAATCTTTTAAGCAAATGTGTGTTTGGCATTTGAACAATGTGGCCAGCCCATTGGCGTTGCACTCTCTGCAGCAGAGTTTTAATGCTTGGTAGTTCAGTTTGAGAAAGGACCTCAATGTGTAGTACCTTATCTTACCAGGTGATCTTCAGAATCTTCCTAAGACAACTCAAATGAAAGTAATTCAGTTTACTGGCATGGCACTGGTATACCATCCAAAGTTTCATAGGCATACAACAATGAGGTCAGCACAATGGCTCTGTAGACCTTCAGTTTAGTAGGCAGACTAATACCTCTTCTCTCCCACACCTTCTTTTGGAGCCTCTCAAACACTAAGCTAACTCTGGAAATGCATGCATCAGCCTAATCTATGTGTACATCCCTGGAAATTATACTGCCAAGGTAAGTGAAGTTATCCACAGAATTCAACATTTCTCCATTTGCTGTAACCAATGGTTACACATATGGATGGTGTGGTGCTGGCTGGTGGAGGACATCTGTTTTCTTGTTGTTAATTGCTAGATCAAAATTAGCACAAGTGGCAGAGAATCAATCCATACTCTGTTGCATCTTAGCTTCAGAGGCTGCATTGACTGCACAATCATCTTCAAACAAAAAGTCTCACACGAACTCTCCCTCCACTTTAGTCTTCGCTTGTGGTCTTTTCAAGTTAAATAATTTACCATCAGTGCAGTAGCTGACCTTGATACCATTTTTGTCCTCATTGAAGGCATCTGACAACATTGTTGAAAATTTCATGCTAAAAAGCATTGGGAGCAAGCACATAGCCCTGCTTCCACTGGTGGCTGGGAAAGCATGAGAGTATCATCCATTATCCAGAACCCATGCAAGCATGTCATCATGCAACTGGATTCAATACTGATGAACTTTTCCAGGCAACCAAATTTTGCCATGATCTTCCATAAGCCCTCATGGCTGACAGTATCAAAGGCCTTGGTTAGATCAACAAATATTGTGTACAGGCCTCTGTTCTGCTCCTGGCATTTCACTTGGAGTCATTGGGCAGCCTTTTCTGAAGCCACACTGGCTCTTGGGTAGAGGGTCATATTCCAGGTGAAGGAGCAGCCTAGTAGGAGTACTCTGGCAAAAATCTTGCTCCCCAAACCCCATGATTGTCACAGGACAACCTATTTCCTTTTCTTTTATAGAGATAAACAATGGAGGCATTCTTGATCTGCTGGGGGATAACCTCCTTTTGCCATATAATCCAGAAGATTTCAGTCAGTTTTTATATGAGCAGTGGACCCCCTGCCTTGTAAAGCTAAGCTGGAATAGAATCATCATCAGGCTCTTTGTTTCATGAGAGGAGCCTAATGGCATTCAAAACCTCTTCTTCAGTTGGAAGTTCAGCTAGAGAGGGATTGACTTCAATTGGTGCAATCAATGGCTCCAGCTTTGGTTGATGACAATCTGTTGAAAACTAGAAGTATTCAGCCTTATCACTGATCAGTGTAACTCCATCAGTGCTGAACAGTTGAGGTACCCCTAGTCTTTGGCCCATAAATAGCCCTCAGGGTATCACAGAAGTGCTTTGGATTGTTACTGTCTGTGTCAGACTGATTTTCATCCACCTTCTTGCTGAGCCAAGAATCCTGCATCTCTAAGTTTTGCTTGCACTTTACCTTTTTTTTTTAACTTTACTTTTCATGGAGTTAAACACTACCTTCTTAGAAAAAGACAAACTAGGGGCAGCTAGGTGGCGCAGTGGATAGAGCACAACCCTGAAGGCAGGAGGACCTGAGTTCAAATCCGGCCTCAGACCAAGTACTTGACACTTACTAGCTGTGTGACCCTGGGCAAGTCACTTAACCCCAATTGCCTAAAAAAAAAGACAAACTATCCTGCTGGTAAATCCTATAGAGTTCTCATTTTTCATTTAATTACCTCTGAATTTCCCCAACATTTTCATCAAACCAATCCTGATGTTTGCAAGTGTTCTGGCCCAGATGAGTAAATGTGGATCTGTACACCAAATCTCTGAAAGCTGCCTGTTACTGTTCTGCTCCACTCTTGCAAGCTTTCTGTGCAAGTCAGAAATACATTGTTCACACACGGAGAAGCACTCTAATCTGTTGACGTTGAGTCTTCTGATAGTGTCTTACTTTGGGGCCACCACTTTTGTTGAATGTGAATGTTTAGCTTGGAAAGGATAAGTTTATGATTAGTCCAGCACTCTGCGCCCTTGTCACTCACATCCTTTCTGACTCTTTTCCTTACCATGACCAATGTTTGTTGTGAGGGTACATCCATGAAACTTTATTGCATTGAGGTAAACAGAAGATAGTGTTGGTGATGAGAAGGTCATGAGACACACAAGTCTTCAGTAGTGATTGACCACTGCTGTTGCTGTTTCTGATTTCATTCCTCTTTGCAAAAGTTTTTGTACATCTTTTTTGCATTTCATCCACAGAATGGGCCAGGGTTAGGTGAAGCAGACAATTTTTAGGGCACCTTTTCTAGCCCCTTCCTTGTACCAGGAGGTGAGCAGTGTAGTCCCTTAAAAAGGCTGCTCAGACATCCAGGGAACTGCCAAATCCCACTGCTACTTCAGTCCAGTGAGATGACCCTATGCCCTGAGCTGCCTGGGTGCCAGGTTGTGACTACAAGTGTATCCACACCTATTGCTTTGTCCTTAGCCCATCACCACAGGACTTCAAGGTAGATAAAATAGTAAAATAATAAAATCAAATAGTTGAATAGCAAAATAATAAAACATAAAATGGTATGGGTGATATCTTTTGACTCGTGTGTAAATTGGATTTAAGTGAGGCAGAGTTGCACGACGTCATCAGCTTCACTTTCTCTTCCAGAGTCACTGAAGTCCAGTTGCAAGACAAAGGTTAAGATGACTAGTGATAGCTCTGGATGCACTGGATGACTTTGGTGTCTTCAATATCTGACCAGGCTCTAAGAATTCCACAGTGCCTGCTTCAGCTGCCTTCATAGTCCATTGGAACAAATTGTTAACATCTGCCTATTCCACTGGGGAAGTCTTCACATGCATGGGGTAGTCACTCCCCCTACCTCACCAATGGGTTTGATGCCTGTCAGTTAGCCTCAGTGCGGTTTAACCCATCTGCCAAGATGGTTTTACAAGGGTGTGGCCACTGCACATGCTACAGCTTCTTGGAGCCACCAGTGAGAGCAAAGGTGGATAAGCAACTCTGTAAAGCACTCAGCTGCCCTCTTAGCCTACCAGTGCTAGTCCTCCCTGGACACCCCATATACACCAAAGAGATCAGCAAAGGCCTCATATAGGAGGAAGCAGCTGAGTTGTGCCTTGAAGGATGTTAAAGATTCTGGGTAAA